GCCCGAGCTGCTGTCCAGCGAGAGCGGCAGCCTGCACAACAGCCCGTCCGACAGCCACCCGGGCAGCAGCCGCCACAGCCCGGGCGCCGGGCTCCCGCCGGAGGGCGAGCCCGCGCTCACGCCGTCCGAGGGCAGCGACACGAGCGCCGCGCCGCCCCCGGAGGCGGGCCGGCCGGGCCAGCGCCGCAGCGCCAGCCGCGACAACCTCAAGGGCGCGCTGGAGAAGGAGAGCCAGCGCCGCTCCTACCCGCTCAACACGGCCAGCCTGAACGGCGCCCCCAAGGGCGGCAAGTACGAGGACATCACCCTGGCGGGCGCCGAGGCGGCGGGAGGCGGCTGCATGAAGACCGGCCTCTGGAAGAGCGAGACCACCGTCTAGGTGGGCGGGTGGCACTTTAGGGCAGGCTGGCCGCCCGGACTGGTTTTCCTGGCTGCGCGGGCCCCTGAGGACGCCGATCGGTGAAGTGCAGAGGGCTGGCCGGGCTCACTAGCCTCCGTCCTGAAGCTAAGGACAGCGGGCGCCCGCGCGGCTAGGAGGGCCGTGCCTCTGGGGTAGCGACAGGCAATCCCGGGGCCACCGGCAGGACACTCTGTCCCAGCCCAGGCCAGTCTGTGCCATCCAGGGTAGGGAAGGTCCTGTCTGGATTGGTGGGTACTGGGCGGGCCAGCAAGCCCAGGTGGGCTCTTCCTAAGGTGCCCCCATCTTGCCCACCCGCCTCTCTGGTGGTGTCAGCCCTACTTGGCAAACACAGATGGGGGCTTGGGAACAGTGTTCCCTCACCGCCCTCCTCTGAAGCCGGCCTGTGCCTAGCTTCTAGGGCCTCTCCCCACCCAGTTTTTGGCTAACTGGGGAGGCAGCCTAGATATGCCAGGTGACCAGGACCCATTGGAGGTGACAAGGTGCTGCTTTTCAGACTATGCAGGAGGCGAAGGCGGGGCCGTGTGAAAGTCAGCCTGGGAGGTCAAGGAGGGCAGGTGCACCATTAGGGAGCGACACCACCCCGTGAGTGTACACACACCACCA